AAGAGCCGACTAAATCTATCTCGAGATATTGATGATGAAATATAAGGATCTCGCATTTAAAACCTAGAAGACCAGTAGTCTTTGTAGCTAGACTTCCTACTTAGCCCATCAACAGATTGACACCTAAGAAACATCTAATTTCTTCGTTAGTCGTTGGAACATTGCGGTCTCTATACTGCTGCGTGGCATATAGATTAGTCTTAAATATTAATTTGTCGATCGAGTCCGAAAAATGCATAAAAAAACATCCAGCGGCATTTCTGTGGATTTGGGTATATCTGGATCAAGCATTTCACTAAAGGCTTCAGGTTCAGAAAATTGAGACATTTTCGACCACTTCGTTTCCTGCTGGTTTACTTCTTTTCTGACTTTGTCCCTCAGAGTGTTCAATGGGAATTTATCGTCACCATCGGAATCGGATCCATTTTGATTTTCCTGCGGTAACTCATTTGAATCTGCATTTGCTATATTTATTTCGCCAACATCATCAAGTTCATCTTCTGATGGCATTTCAGACGTAAAAGAATATGTGATGGAATACTTTCCATTAGGGCATAAGCATCATCGGAAGACAATTTAGACAGGTTTATAGGCGTTTGCCCTGAAACAAAAAGTAAAAAAAAATAAGTACCTAGCTATTTGACACAAACGATTATTTTTTCTAAGCAAAGCAAATCTAAATTTCTTCCTAGTGGTCCCAAATGGAACCACAATCAATTTATATGCCATTAAATTATTGGGCAATTATTTATTGTTACTAAATACACCTAATCGCTAGTTACAATGTTAGTGCAATGTTACTTTCCACATTTAGATGTAAATTTCGTTTTCTTTTTAATACTTTTGCTTTTTTCAATATTGGCTGGTCTTCCACTGGGCATCCTCTTACTACCTTTTGTAATATCAGGTCTTCTTCTGGCAATGGCTGTTGCTTGTACACGAATTAAAGGGATATACTACGTCTTAAAGGGATACTGGATCCTGCCGCGGCCGTGCATAAAAAAACTCTCCCATGAATTTCTGGTGCTGACTTTTTTGAGCCGAGTTAAACATTTTTGGATAGAAGCTTCACTGGTGTGAAATCTTGAATGGCAATTTTCCATGAGTTTTAACAATGCTTCAAGTGAAGATGACTCAGTGTTATTGTATGGCTTTGATTTTCAGATACAGGGTAATTTTCATTGTGATTACTTTCATTATTTAGTTCTGCATAAGAATGTTGTTCATATAAATTGTAACGAAAATTTATTTTCGTTGTGCTTGCCTTCGGATTATTTTATTTTTAAACGAGGTTTTACAGTTTGCAATTTTACTCGCATTGACACTCGACCTTCCGGTACCATACTTTTCCCCCGTTGGATGTTGTGCGTCGGATATATATATATATATATATATATATATATATATATATATATATATATATATATATATATATATATATATATATATATATATATATATATATATATATATATCGTTAATCAATTGTTATAATCAATTAATATAATTAATTAATTTAAAATATATTTTTTATCGTTCTTTAATAATTCTCAATGGTACTTAGCAAAGTTGAACTTATTATTTCGATTTTAATATGTTTTTGTTCAACGATTATAAATTAAGTTGCTCTTTTCATGGATCGTGCCATCCATCACGAGAATCCATGGAGTACCAAATTACACCAAATGGACGGTGTACAAAATATTGCAGACTGTAAAACACCGTAGATTGTTTTAAGCAATTCATAATACAATAGTTGCAATTTTTGGTTGCCTACCTACTGTTTGAGATTCATTTGTTTATTTTTAACAGAGGTTAAGTGAATTTTCCTTGTTATCAGTGCTAATTGATTAAGATGCAATTGTTTCCTTGATTTTTAAGGTATGTAAGGAGTCGTTAAGTATTATTTTTATTAGTAGTTGAAATTTTATCGAGAATTAGTTTAACAACGCATGACTATTTTTAATTCGATCTGATATGTCAAGATTTTCGGGAGAAGGGGTATGGTTAATATAAAACTAAAATTTTTAAAATTTTGCCTTCTTCTCTTCTCATCTCTGCTCTGGGCATTTGGTCATTATTCCAATCTGTTCGAGATTTTTTTCTTCAAGATTGCACGCTGAAGGTACGATTTTATTTAATTTTACTATCTGGTTCTATTTAACAATTTATTTCAGCAATTATTTCATTACTTAATATATTTTCTAAATGTAGGTAACTACCTATTGTTTTTTGCAAATTTTTTATGTACCTAGCTACAGTTTTTTTTCTCATGAGAACACGTGTATAGTAGTTTTGTAATTTTTCTAATACCTTTAACTTTTATTTAGTACTAATTATTTTTTTTCTATCTATATATAAATACGGAGACGCCACAACATGGAACAGGAAACCACAGACAGGTGTTCGATACTGAGCCAGGCTGTCCGAGAGAACCAACTGCTGCAGGAGTACAATCAGGAATGTCCCAGGAAAAGCAGGCCTTTGGTAAGTAAAGCTTTTATAATATCATTATTATCGACTATTGTCACCTTTTAAAAAACTTTACATGCCAGAGGGTGGCTTCTCCATACCTGGACCCTGTGGTGGTTATTTTTTTCGTTTGACGGGCTCCTCGACAGATAAGATTTTTTCTAATTTTTCTCTCTCGCCTTATCTGTCGATTACCTTAATTTTTAATAGATCGTAAATTTATTATTAATATTTTTTTTATAATTTAAGCTGTCGTCTCTTCGTATTGCATTTTTTTTTAGATTTTGTTTTTTAGCACGTGCAAAGTAATAAATAATTGTCTGATAGAACCAGTTTTTTTTATCCAATTTTTATTATAAAATCGTACCTATAGTGTGGTAGTGGTCTTGATATTTTTTTATTAAATTGATTTTACATTTTTTGGGAGAGACAGAGAGAGATATACATTTTATCTTTGTCTATTTTTTTAAAATAATTTGGACAATACTCAATTCTAATTTCATTTAAGCTGTTATAGCCAGATTTCAAAATTTATTCAATTAAATTAAAATTTTATTAAATTTAATTATTAATATTAAATTTTCAAGTTTGATAGTAGAATTTTGTCTGTTATTCATCATTTTTTTATTGGTTGGCTTTTAGAGAAGACTAACAATTTATTGGTTAAATACCAATTTGTTTTTGATGCCTTTCGGCTTTTGTATTTTAAAATTGATCAATTTTAATTTTAAAGCTAGCTTTAATTTTTATTCTTATTAGTAGTAATTAGATTTAATTTAAATATTGTTAAGGTAAATAACTATACCTTTGATCTAAATTTTAATTTACTATCATTGTACATTTTATTGGCCACAACAGACAGTCGACTTGGTACTGTTGAACACTACCACATAACTGGGTACTTAACCATTATTTCGAATAGCATACTGCTGATTGTTATCTTATAGGAATATACGAGAATTGATCCTCTCCATAAGTAGCTCACGCACTGAGACTGGTGGAGTCTCACAAGCTCTCCAATGCTAGCCGAACAGTTACGCTACCCACCAGCGGACGAGTGCAGCGAAGAGGGTGAGGCCTTTCTCCCAACCAACGAACCAACCGAAGCAGATGAAAATTTAAGTATCCCAGTTATATTGTATCTAACCTTATATAGTCAAGACTGTCACAGCCAGCCAATTGTATTAGTATAAGTTAGAATATAGGTAGTATTTTAAAAAAAGATCTTGTTTTATTTAATTCCAAAGCATATTTCTAAATTCATCAACATCCAGAATTTTGTGGGTTATAAAATCAGTTGTTGATACCAAATTGGTCTCATATGTTTCTTCTTGGGAACTAACAAGAGGTCTGTAAAATTCTCTACCTTTAGCCTTTTCACCCAATGCCAAACATGCAATTTGATAACGGATCTCGGAATTATTTGCTTCCAGGTCATAATAAAATAAATACGGTAAGTGCTACAAGGTCGGTTAAATCAAAGAAAAGTTGCCTTTTTATGCCCATTCATGGTACAGTGTTGCCAAATTTCTTTTAGTTTATGAAAATAAACAGTATGGCAGTACCGGCGGGGGACCTCCTCTAGTTAGTGAATTAACACCATCAGAACAGGCAATTCTAGACTTAATTAAAGTTGTTTCTATCGAAGGACATAACGTATTAGAATCACCCGCAAACTTTGAAAACACTGAGGACATCACAAATGATAGCTTGCTCACTAATAATGAAAACTTTACGGAAGAGATTTTAGTAAATCAAGATTCAAAAGGTTCTACCCCTCGTTTTACCCTGAATCATACTGGAACAAATAATGACAAAAATACCCCTTCAACAAATGGTAGGAAAGTCCACAAAAGTCTAAAATGTCAAATGAAGTGGTGGTAAATAACTTTAATACATTGTATAAACAAAAAAATTAAATAAAAACAACAAAAAAATTGAACTTTTAACAAGGATAGCAGTTGCCAAAGAGAAATCTGCATCTTCGATAGACAAAATTGCAGAGTCCCTGACTTCAACTAATTTAATTTTTCAATGTAAGTAGTTTTTTTCTTTAATATTTGTACCTTTGTATGTTAAAAATGTTTATTTCAGTTTGATGATTTATGGTTGTTTAAATAAAATATTCAAAATTTGTTTTTAACCAAATATGTCTATTCAAAATCAAAACAAGAAAAACACAGAAAGTTAACAAAAATAGGGCAAACAGCAATGTTGATATTCTATCAACTATATTTTATAACAAATGTCTGATGGGGCAAAGCCACTGCGGATCGTAAATCAAGGTATTGGTTTGTGCCACTACATTCTGTATCTAATCACGTTATGAATTAAATTTTGCCTTGCTGCACGACCCATAGCAAGATCTTAATTTATTCTTGCAAGAGCATTTTCTGCCAAATTTTCAGGAATATTATCTTTTGCAATATATCTAAAAATAAAAAAAATAAATCTGAACAAGAAAAATAAATCATAACAATTATTATTACCGTAATTTCCAAAATCAAATTCCTCGTCTTCTGGTTCAGGTATGTTATGTTCAATACATAATTTGTGTAAAAATGCACAAGAATTTATAATTTTGCACGCTGTTACAGTCATAATGCAACACTCTATGTTTGAGGCAACAACGAAATCTCATTACATCTCTCAGTGATGCTCCGTGTTGTTTTGTGGCAACGATTGTAAACATATTTTGGTGTATTCTCCGCTGGCTCATTTTCTAATGGAGTGAAACACCATGTTCGTAGTGGATAACCAAAATCTCCTAATATTTATTTGTGTTATTTTTATCTTGTTTTTTATGTACTAATTTCAAATTAAATACCTCACTTAAAAAAAAAATAATCAGTATGCCCCCTAGCATACAACTGTTGTAGCAACCTTTGAACGTTAGAATCGCTCAAAATAAATGCCTCATTATTTCCACCCGGATATCTTGCAGTGATGTTAATGATTTTAAGATTAGCATCACATATCTAAAGCCAAACTTGTTATCTTATTAAACAAATAAGTCGAATACTTACCAGTTGTACATTGATGGAATGATATCTTTTTCTATTTACATAAATGTGTTCTGGATGGTCTGGATCATCTATCTTAGGCGGGTAAATAGCGATATGTGTAGTCAATGCAGCCTATCACACCTGGAAAATTAAACTTTTGGGAGAATCTAAGGTTTCACGAGATTCTCGAAATTCTCGATTTCGAGACGAGACAGATTTTTTTTTCGAGTCGAGATCGAGAAAATGCCTTCGAGATTTTTCGAGATCGAGAATTTTTTTCCAGATTTCTCGATCTCGAAAAACTTGAGATGCTGCAATAACTCAACAGCTCATAAAAGGCTAGAAAAATGGAAATAAAAAACTATGTTGGGAAATATTTTCTCGTACAATGCTAATTTACATTTCTTTATTTACAATTATTAGAAATAATTAAAGGATAACTTCCCCAAAACTGTTTGATCAGTCGGTCTTTTCAGAATAAAGAAATGCCGTAAATATAATATATTCTTGTTCTTATGGCACCATTTTTGTATAAATTTCACTATTAACTCCTATTGAGTTAAACGAATTTAAGTAATGTCGAAGAAAAAAGTTTTTCAATAAAAGACTGTTTCGAGTTGCACAACGAAATAAAAATGTTAAACTTTCGTAGGTAGCTAGGTAAATTTTAAACCCATATGGATTTTTATCCATATGGGTTTATATTTTTTAGTCAATCTACACAAATATTATCAAAAACTTTTTTTCTTTTAAAATGTGTTCAGATTTTGTAAAAAGTATAAGTCAAAATCGCAAAACTTAAATTTGATATGAGTTTCTTAGTTTTTAACTAGTATAGTGGCGAATTACAAAAATTCCTTTTCAATGAAAATTAATGAGTTAAATAAAATAATTTAATAAATTACTAGCTTTTTCTCGCGACTACGTTCGCGTTACACCTCGAATCGTTCATGCATTGATTTAAATTATTTTTTACTTCTTTATAGAGAGCTAGTGAGCATAGATGTTTTTTATTTTTCATCTTTTTTTTATTTATTAAGAGCACTAATACTCTCTTTATAGGTTATTTTTCATTCTTTGAAGGATAATTGAGGAAAATATATTTCGTTATGATGTCACTAAATAAACCCTTGTATAAAATTTTATACTGTCTGGTTTATAATGTTATAGTATTGCATTTTCGTACAGCAAACTTTCATTCCCTATTCTACTCCCTAAGGGTATAAATTTCATAAATTAGCTTTACCTTTGTACCAATTTTTATGTATATAATCCAGAGGTCACCAAGTTTTATATAAACTTTTACTAACTTTACCCATTTGGTTGATGAATTTCAAAAATTTCTTCTATTTCTTTTTGTAGGATTTCATTCTTCTAGACCAAATAGTAAGGAATTTTCATACAACAAACTGTTCCGAGATAATTTTACTCTCTAAGAGGATGAATTTCCTAAAATCGCTTTGTGTAGCTAATTCATTAATGTCGTTTAAACGAACCTTTGTGCTAATATTTATGTATCTAAAGCTGGCGGCATGAACTCACTCTAAAATATCTAAAAACGTAATATATAATCTAACTGACACACTGACAATGACAAATAATTTATTTCTGGAGGTATTGTGTGTAGGTGTTTTTCAGGTATGTTTTAGTATTTAGTCGTTTTACACAAAGAAATAGCCATTAAGCACTATAAAAATACTTCATAACAAATCTACACATATATACCTTTCATTTAAAAAAAGAATCATCAAGATTGGTAAAGCGGTTTCGGCGGGATGGATGCAACAAAAAAACCCTTTGAGCTTTTATATATGTATGGATTAATTATTTTTCCAACATATTTTACTTTGCAAATTTTTATAAATATTCAGACTCGCCAATATCGTACTCCACCGTGTCCAGCCTGTTTAGCCAAACGTAGGCCGATTCCTCTTCGGCGGCGTCGTGACCCTGGCCGAAGGAAGAGTCTTGAAGACGCTCATCCGCGCATAGGAATAAGTTGACTGCGTAGCGTATTGCGTATTAATCGATTCTGAAACTTTCTATCTCGTGTATAACATGTTACGCAAGTTTATTATTTTAATCTCGATTTTAATAGATAAATGTGTGAAATGCCACCTGAATATCTTCCGCCATGACATGTTTTTACTTTTTTGTTATGGTAAAGTGATTTGTATAAACTTTATTCAATAACGTATATTTTCCTCCATTTGTGATTTTTTAATTTTAAGCGAAAATTAAGTATAACATTTTAGGAAAAAGAAACACTGTAATATTTAAAAGAATAAGAAGAAATTAGTCTTATTTTGAAAGGAAAATATAGAAAAAACTCTTTCTATAGAAAAAGTCTTTATACTAACCAGAATCCGGTGACATATACGCGGTCTCACCGGAAACATTACTTATTACTTCGCATAACTTGAAGAATATCTACTTTTAATAATGAACACTTCAGAAATACACCAGTAAAAACATTTATTATTTGAGATTAAAACTCGAATTAAATTATAAATATTAGTTACCTATGTTGTTATAGCTTTTATAGGCCTGTTTAACGACTTAATAAGTTACCTAGCGAAAAAATCTGTGCGCGTACCTACCACTATTGTTACAGGTTAATTCGTTAAAGAAATATGTTACACAAGTTAAAAACGCTAAAATTTTAATGGTATTACTTGTGCATTATTGGCCTTATAATGTAATTTGTTGGAATTATATCTTCTTTAAATATAATTAGACTTTTTAACGACTTTTAAGTTACCTAGGAAAAAATCTGTGCACGTACCTACCAGTATTGTTACAGGTTAATTCGTGAAACAAATGTGTTACATATTATTCGTGGTATTAGTGGTATTATATTGGAATCAGCTTGGCATTAGTGGGGCATTATATGAGAAATTTTGGTATTTAATTTGTATTTTTGGCATTACTTTGGCATTAGTATACAGACATTTGTCAGCGGTTTACTCCTTGTAGATAATCAAAAAGTTTTTTGATAAAATTTGCTTTTCATGTCAGATCATTTCTATGAAAAATTACATTAGATTTTTATTAAAGACGCTGGGTAATTAAAACATTGACTAATAAACCTTGTCCACTTTAAATACGGGGTCACGAAATATCCTCCTTGGAGTGTTTGGGTTAAGGGGTGTATAATAAATTAATCGTTGTTTTATAATAAAAACCATAAAACATTTATTTGTGAGTAAAATAATGCAATGGTTGGATATCTCTCCTTTATAATTGGGTGACTAAAAATACACTAAAATAATTAGAAAAAAAATCTTGTACTTATTTAGTAATTACGTCAATATTAATTAATTGACTTTCTAGTCTATTTTATTTTATGTACAAATATATTATTAAATTTTAAGCATTAAGTAATAAAACACTTTGTGCCCTCTTATATCGTAAAAGGTTACGAAATATACTCCTGGTTACACCCCTTACAGAAAACAGTGTAAGGGGTGTAAATAAATTGTATAATCACTGTTTTTTATAATAAAAACTATAAAATATTTCTTATTTGTGAGATTAAAAAAACAAAACAATGCATTGGTTAAAATAAGTACATTCAATACTGTTTTCAATTGTTAATTCAATAATGTGTTATAACATAATATAGCCATTACTATTATACTATTATTATTAAAATAATATGTGTGTAACATATTTCTTTAACGAATTAACCTGTAACAGACATTTATATGCCCAGTATATTTTTGTTTAACAAACCAATCAGGAAAAATCCAAAACCTACCGTTATAGGAGGTATAAGACGATTAAACTTATATAATGACAACTACTTATCGGATAACAAATTAATTACTACTGTCAGCTAGTTCAGCTACTGTCTAGGTAGAATTTACCTAGAGTACCTACACCTACCTATGATGATGTAGGTAGATTAAAGCTTATTTTGACGTTACCTCTCACTTCGGTGTCACAAGCTGAATTTTTCAGGGATGGAAGTACAGTACATCACAGTACATGATATGGGGACCCTTATTCCGAAAGTAGTACAAAATTAAACAGGGTAAAAAGGCACTATCATCAAAAATCGATATATTAATACCACCGTATAGAGAAAACAAATACTTATTTTTTGATCCAGTACAGAATAAAGTCTTCGTAGGGAGTAATTTTTTATAATTATTTACAAAAAAACATTTCCATTAGCGCTTATGACCAAAAAAAAACTTTAAACATGAATAATCATTTCAATCATGCGAAAATTTGGTTTAAAAATAGAGATTTTTTTTTAATATAACTTTCATTTAACGAAAAACGAAGGCCTAAATGAAAAAAAGAAACAATTTAAAAGTTTCGCTCATGTCTTGACAAGGTATCAAAGCAAACCCCATATTTTTTGCTTTTAAACTAATAAAGATATATCAATAAACAATTAGCGATGTAATGGTTTTTGCGCGCGCTGGCCGACTGCCGCCGCTGCGCCGAGATTTCCTATACCCTTGTATATATGACGTCATGGTGTGGCAAATGTAGCATTTTAATTCGATTTGGGCTCCCTTATATAGGATAACAGAAACATTTTCAATGTTAAAATAAAGGAATCGGTTTGATTTTCGCTTTTTAAAACAATATATTTTTATTTTTGGGATTGTGGGCCAGTCTGCGTTTTTTTTTGTTACACATGGCTTTTAGTTCATACCATACCTATAATAGCTTAAATACCTATAATTCTATAACGTAATTTTTAACAGAAAAAAATGACCCTATCTTTTGGTGCAGACTTTATAACATGATATTTTTAGCCGTCCATACCAATAGGTATGGTAGGCTATTAAGATCGATAAAAAAAAAAGTTTTTTTAATTTCACTCAAAATGAGTTATTTGGGTCATAAATGATCTAAATACAAAAGATTTTCATGGTGTCTGTCTGTCTGTCCGTCTGTAACACGATAACTGAAAAACCGCTAAACCGATTTTAACCAAATTTGGCTCAAAAATACTGGGGCACCCGAGAATCTGGCCATTAGTTTTCGGTGGGGGTGGGGGGTTGGTAAGGGGGTATGGGAGGGGGTTAAAAATTTTAAAAAATCGTAACTCCAAAATTACAGTAGCTAGCGAAAAGCGGTTTTCAATTTAAGTTTAGGAATAATATTTGCAACAAAATTTGTAATAACATCAAAATCAGTCAAAGTCGCAGTTTTTGAGATAAAAAAAATAAAAAAATTCCTTTACTTGAAACTAAAAGAATTGCCTACCAATTTTTTATTAACATATTTTAGTATGGGCGGCTATACGTGCCTCCCGGCGCCAATTTTTTAATAATAATAAATCAGTTATTTATTTTCGAGACTCAAAATTTCGAGAATCTCAAATCGAGATCGAGAAATTGACTTCAAGAAAAACATCGAGACGAGATTTCTCGTCTCGATGAAACCCTAGGAGAATCTAAAACAATAATATGATCTCTATTAGATTGATGGTACGAAGAATGTATCATATATTTGGTACAATTAATACATATTAATTATATAATTACAATTAAGTACATATTTGGTAAAATTAATCTGAAGGTATTTAACTCTTGAAAACTTTGAGGAAACTTTACATATTGATTAAAAATTTCCGGTCGATTAATTGCTTCTATAACTTCTCTTAACATCTACTGACAGAAGATTGGCTAACATTTAGGTGTAGTTTTTTCCAATATCAAGCTGGTAGCTGCCGCTTGCAAAAATTTTTAAAG